GTGTGTTTGCGTGGGCCCGTCGCAGCTGCGTGGGTTAGCGCGGGGCTATGGCCACCTGGTGCTATGGCCACCTGGTGCTATGGCCACCTGGTGCTTTGGCCACCTGGTGCTTTGGCCACCTGGTGCTTTGAGGTGGATTCTGGGAGGTGGGTGAGAGAGCGTCCCTCTGGTTCTGGATTGTTCTGTATTCACCCGAGTCCGAATGAGTCCGGGCCGTGACGTGCTCTGGTCCTGCTCCTGAGTTTCCCACAGGGCCATAGTTTATAGTTTTATTTCATGTTTAAACTTTTTCTCAAAGTTTAGACATGAAATAAAGTCTGTTTTTTAATATTATTATAATTTTTAGGCCTTGGCTTTTAACACAGAGTTTTACCATTTTACTTTTATATGTATGTGTCTGTATTTTATTATTATTATTATTATTATTATTATCATTAAACTTTACTCCAAACACGAGGTCCAGAAAGAAAGACATCACACAAAAACAAAAACAATAATAATCATTTTCTTTTCTTTTTGATCTTTGTGACTGTGGGCAGTGACTCTGGGCAGTGACTCTGGGCAGTGACTTTGGGCAGTGACTGTGGGCAGTGACTTTGGGCAGTGACTGTGGGCAGTGACTGTGGGCAGTGACTCTGGGCAGTGACTCTGGGCAGTGACTTTGGGCAGTGACTGTGGGCAGTGACTTTGGGCAGTGACTGTTGGCAGTGACTTTGGGCAGTGACTCTGGGCAGTGACTGTGGGCAGTGACTTTGGGCAGTGACTGTGGGCAGTGACTGTGGGCAGTGACTTTGGGCAGTGACTTTGGGCAGTGACTGTGGGCAGTGACTTTGGGCAGTGACTGTGGGCAGTGACTGTGGGCAGTGACTTTGGGCAGTGACTTTGGGCAGTGACTTTGGGCAGTGACTTTGGGCAGTGACTTTGGGCAGTGACTCTGGGCAGTGACTGTGGGCAGTGACTTTGGGCAGTGACTGTGGGCAGTGACTTTGGGCAGTGACTTTGGCCAGTGACTTTGGGTAGTGAATGTGGGCAGTGACTTTGGGTAGTGAATGTGGGCAGTGACTTTGGGCAGTGACTGTGGGCAGTGACTGTGGGCAGTGACTTTGGGCAGTGACTTTGGGCAGTGACTTTGGGCAGTGACTGTGGGCAGTGACTTTGGGCAGTGACTTTGGCCAGTGACTTTGGGTAGTGAATGTGGGCAGTGACTTTGGGTAGTGAATGTGGGCAGTGACTGTGGGCAGTGACTTTGGGCAGTGACTTTGGGCAGTGACTTTGGGCAGTGACTCTGGGCAGTGACTGTGGGCAGTGACTTTGGGCAGTGACTGTGGGCAGTGACTTTGGGCAGTGACTGTGGACAGTGACTTTGGGCAGTGACTGTGGGCAGTGACTGTGGGCAGTGACTTTGGGCAGTGACTTTGGGCAGTGACTTTGGGCAGTGACTGTGGGCAGTGACTTTGGGCAGTGACTTTGGGCAGTGACTTTGGGTAGTGAATGTGGGCAGTGACTTTGGGTAGTGAATGTGGGCAGTGACTGTGGGCAGTGACTTTGGGCAGTGACTTTGGGCAGTGACTTTGGGCAGTGACTCTGGGCAGTGACTGTGGGCAGTGACTTTGGGCAGTGACTGTGGGCAGTGACTGTGGGCAGTGACTTTGGGCAGTGACTTTGGGCAGTGACTCTGGGCAGTGACTTTGGGCAGTGACTTTGGGTAGTGACTGTGGGCAGTGACTGTGGGCAGTGACTGTGGGCAGTGACTGTGGGCAGTGACTTTGGGCAGTGACTGTGGGCAGTGACTTTGGGCAGTGACTGTGGGCAGTGACTGTGGGCAGTGACTTTGGGCAGTGACTGTGGGCAGTGACTTTGGGCAGTGACTTTGGCCAGTGACTTTGGGTAGTGAATGTGGGCAGTGACTTTGGGTAGTGAATGTGGGCAGTGACTGTGGGCAGTGACTTTGGGCAGTGACTTTGGGCAGTGACTTTGGGCAGTGACTCTGGGCAGTGACTGTGGGCAGTGACTTTGGGCAGTGACTGTGGGCAGTGACTGTGGGCAGTGACTTTGGGCAGTGACTTTGGGCAGTGACTTTGGGCAGTGACTGTGGGCAGTGACTTTGGGCAGTGACTTTGGCCAGTGACTTTGGGTAGTGAATGTGGGCAGTGACTGTGGGCAGTGACTTTGGGCAGTGACTTTGGGCAGTGACTGTGGGCAGTGACTGTGGGCAGTGACTTTGGGCAGTGACTGTGGGCAGTGACTTTGGGCAGTGACTTTGGCCAGTGACTTTGGGTAGTGAATGTGGGCAGTGACTTTGGGTAGTGAATGTGGGCAGTGACTGTGGGCAGTGACTTTGGGCAGTGACTTTGGGCAGTGACTTTGGGCAGTGACTCTGGGCAGTGACTGTGGGCAGTGACTTTGGGCAGTGACTGTGGGCAGTGACTGTGGGCAGTGACTTTGGGCAGTGACTTTGGGCAGTGACTCTGGGCAGTGACTTTGGGCAGTGACTTTGGGTAGTGACTGTGGGCAGTGACTGTGGGCAGTGACTGTGGGCAGTGACTGTGGGCAGTGACTGTGGGCAGTGACTTTGGGCAGTGACTTTGGGTAGTGACTGTGGGCAGTTACTGTGGGCAGTGACTTTGGGCAGTGACTTTGGGCAGTGACTCTGGGCAGTGACTTTGGGCAGTGACTGTGGGCAGTGACTGTGGGCAGTGACTGTGGGCAGTGACTGTGGGCAGTGACTGTGGGCAGTGACTTTGGGCAGTGACTTTGGGTAGTGACTCTGGGCAGTGACTTTGGGCAGTGACTGTTGGCAGTGACTGTTGGCAGTGACTTTGGGCAGTGACTCTGGGCAGTGACTGTGGGCAGTGACTGTGGGCAGTGACTGTGGGCAGTGACTGTGGGCAGTGACTGTGGGCAGTGACTGTGGGCAGTGACTTTGGGCAGTGACTTTGGGTAGTGACTCTGGGCAGTGACTTTGGGCAGTGACTGTTGGCAGTGACTTTGGGCAGTGACTTTGGGCAGTGACTTTGGGCAGTGACTTTGGGCAGTGACTGTTGGCAGTGACTGTGGGCAGTGACTTTGGGCAGTGACTTTGGGCAGTGACTTTGGGTAGTGACTGTGGGCAGTGACTTTGGGCAGTGACTTTGGGTAGTGACTTTGGGCAGTGACTTTGGGCAGTGACTGTGGGCAGTGACTGTGTGCAGTGACTTTGGGCAGTGACTGTGGGCAGTGACTTTGGGCAGTGACTTTGGGCAGTGACTTTGGGCAGTGACTGTGGGCAGTGACTTTGGGCAGTGACTGTGGGCAGTGACTGTGGGCAGTGACTGTGGGCAGTGACTTTGGGCAGTGACTTTGGGCAGTGACTTTGGGCAGTGACTCTGGGCAGTGACTTTGGGCAGTGACTTTGGGCAGTGACTTTGGGCAGTGACTTTGGGCAGTGACTTTGGGCAGTGACTTTGGGCAGTGTTGTACATGTGCTATACACATAAAGATGACATTGAGCAGTTTGTTCTTTACTGTAACAGCGACGTTTAATAATCCTCTCGTTTTAGACTTTCACTTCATTAAAACAGTTAAATATTATTATAACTTTACCTGTTATTATTATAACTTTAACTGTTATTATTATAACTTTACCTGTTATTATTATAACTTTACCTGTTATTATAACTTCACCTGCTGTGACCTGCACTGTGGCGGCACTTGCCCAAACACTGATAAATCGGAGGCACTGCTTCACTGTGTTTCCAGTGAAATGAATGAGAGCCTAAGGAGGGGATGTGACCTCATGATATCAATGATTGATGAGTGCTGATGCTCATCACTAATAAAAATAATAATAATTATTATATTATATAATATAATAATAATAATAACTTAAAAGCAGGAGACGGTGCGACTCCACATCTGAAGTGAAGATTGTAAATGTTATTGTTCGATTGGCCGACAGTTCAAAGCTCTGAATGCTACAATGTTTCAGAAACACTGGGATATTCTCTTTGAAAAACTCGATGGTGACATTTGCGTAATTTGAGCGCCGCTTCACCCCCGCGTCATTAAATCGTCGCCGCCAAACCCATTAACACCCATTCTCTTCAGAAAAGTCCATGTGCAGCAACATGGAGGTGGTTTGCCAAGTCCCGCTGCACTCAGAGGCCATCTGCGAGTTCCATCTGCAGCTTCTACTGCGACGGCAGCCCACGGTTACAGCGGCAGAGCGCCGCACAGAGCGCCGCACAGAGCGCCGCAGACGTCTTTATGACGCACGTGGCTTCTATTAATACATAGTTCCCACAGACCAATGAATGTCACATGACCTCCTCGGAGACGCCATCTTTGATGGCACGCTGCTGTGTTTGTGCATTCCATTAAACAGAAGAATGAGAATAAATGTAGATATTCAAACGCAAATTGGAAAAAAAAGGGCAACTTTTGAGCAAATAATTGTATATTAATACAATGGCACCACAGTTTAACGTGCTACGGACATGTTTTACATATTTGATCAAATTATGCAGCAAAAATTAACAAGCAATGCAAACATTTCTCAAAAACTTTAGATTTAATACCAGTTGGAGCTCCATTTAATTATTTTAATTATATTAACAATTAATTTAATTAATGCTAATGCCACACGGACACTCTGGATTGCTGTTATTGTTTATTTCCGCGTTTTTGACCGTATGTTTTGGTGAATGGTGGGCAACTGATTTTTCCAGGCGTAAAGAGCAGTTTATTTTATGACACAGATCTTTTTACAGAAGCAATGCTGTTTGTGAACATTGTTTTAGCCCACCATAGAACTATTATTATCTATTTAATACATTTACGTTGCCCTCGAGAGCCTCGGACGCGACACCGATCCTCCTCATAATAAAGTAATCTAACGCTAAATAATGAAACTCTCAAGTTACCAGATATCAGCATACACAAGTTAGTACTGAGTAAATTACGTCTGTCAACACATTATAAGATACGATACGCACCTGACACAAAGTGCTCCGAGCATATTCTTGCGTGTTTTGAGGGAGTTTCTTGCCTGTTTATCTTCGCAAGCCATAACCTCCGTGGTTGTTCTGACAAAAGCTTAGTCTTCTCACATTCATGAAGTCTAATGATGGGTATACTGTAAAATCCAAGTTTAACGGAACCTCCGGCACGATTTGAACATCCATTGACCCAGCAGGAGATGACCATTTTCAACTTTATCACGACATTAACACGTTTCAGCTTCTTTTTCTATTGTTTTGCCCACAGCATGCCAATACAAATGTCGCCGGGTCGGCAAATCCCCGTATGTAGTGACGTCATGTGGGAACTATGAATAGGACACAGTTAAAGATGATTAACTCTGTAACCTGGTTATGTCCACACAGGGACCTACGGACGGAGCTGTGTGGAGGCAAAACATAATCAATAATAACAAGTATTATTATATTATATATTATAATATATATATATATATATATGTATATAATATAATTAATATAAAATAATATATATTATTACATATATTATATTATAATGCATTTGTTTTATACAGCAGTTTTTTGGACACTCAAAGTCTCTTCACATCATCAATCTTTAACTCTAAACACAGTGGTGATAAACTACTACTGTAGCCACAGCTGCCCTGGGGCACACTGACAGAAGCGAGGCAACCAGTCTGTGCCATTGGCCCCATTCACACACACACCAGACTCATTCCTTCTAGGCAATGTTGGGGTAGTGTCTTGCCTAAGGACACAACGGCGGTTTGGCACTTTACAGCCGCAGCCGCCCCACTGTGGCACCTGCTGTTCCCAGATGTTAAGTGTCTTGCCCAAGGACACAACGACAGCAGACATCAGTGAGGGTCGTGAAGTAGGTCTTGTGATGGCATCGAACCCATAACCTTCAGGCTCAAAGGCCAATGCTCTTTCTTTTTCCTCTTTTGTATATAATTGAATGCTACATGCTCCATCTGTGAGTGAACGGGCCCTCACCTCCGCACTGCTGGGCCATGCGCAGAGCCGTCAGAGAGGTCTGGGGGTTGATCTCCAGCTGACACACCAGGACCTTAGCTCGGTTCAACGTCGGCTGCACGTCTTTCAGATCCTCAGAGTCCAGCAGCAAGTTTGCACCCGCAACTATTACAATGGCATTTTCCCCTGACGAGAGAACATTACACAGTATCATCATGTGTTTAAACTGCAGACGGAACTACAAATACATGTGTTTAAACTGCAAACAGAACTACAAATACATGTGTTTAAACTGCAAACGGAACTACAAATACATGTGTTTAAACTGCAAACGGAACTACAAATACATGTGTTTAAACTGCAGACGGAACTACAAATACATGTGTTTAAACTGCAGACGGAACTACAAATACATGTGTTTAAACTGCAGACGGAAATACAAATACATGTGTTTAAACTGCAAACGGAACTACAAATACATGTGTTTAAACTGCAAACGGAACTACAAATACATGTGTTTAAACTGCAAACGGAACTACAAATACATGTGTTTAAACTGCAGACGGAACTACAAATACATGTGTTTAAACTGCAGACGGAACTACAAATACATGTGTTTAAACTGCAAACGGAACTACAAATACATGTGTTTAAACTGCAGACGGAACTACAAATACATGTGTTTAAACTGCAGACGGAACTACAAATACATGTGTTTAAACTGCAGACGGAACTACAAATACATGTGTTTAAACTGCAAACGGAACTACAAATACATGTGTTTAAACTGCAAACAGAACTACAAATACATGTGTTTAAACTGCAAACAGAACTACAAATACATGTGTTTAAACTGCAAACGGAACTACAAATACATGTGTTTAAACTGCAAACGGAACTACAAATACATGTGTTTAAACTGCAAACGGAACTACAAATACATGTGTTTAAACTGCAGACGGAACTACAAATACATGTGTTTAAACTGCAGACGGAACTACAAATACATGTGTTTAAACTGCAGACGGAAATACAAATACATGTGTTTAAACTGCAGACGGAACTACAAATACATGTGTTTAAACTGCAGACGGAACTACAAATACATGTGTTTAAACTGCAAACGGAACTACAAATACATGTGTTTAAACTGCAGACGGAACTACAAATACATGTGTTTAAACTGCAGACGGAACTACAAATACATGTGTTTAAACTGCAGACGGAACTACAAATACATGTGTTTAAACTGCAAACGGAACTACAAATACATGTGTTTAAACTGCAAACAGAACTACAAATACATGTGTTTAAACTGCAAACAGAACTACAAATACATGTGTTTAAACTGCAGACGGAACTACAAATACATGTGTTTAAACTGCAGACGGAACTACAAATACATGTGTTTAAACTGCAGACGGAACTACAAATACATGTGTTTAAACTGCAGACGGAACTACAAATACATGTGTTTAAACTGCAGACGGAACTACAAATACATGTGTTTAAACTGCAGACGGAAATACAAATACATGTGTTTAAACAGCAAACGGAACTACAAATACATGTGTTTAAACTGCAAACGGAACTACAAATACATGTGTTTAAACTGCAGACGGAACTACAAATACATGTTTAAACTGCAGACGGAACTACAAATACATGTGTTTAAACTGCAAACAGAACTACAAATACATGTGTTTAAACTGCAAACGGAACTACAAATACATGTCTTTAAACTGCAGACGGAACTACAAATACATGTGTTTAAACTGCAGACGGAACTACAAATACATGTGTTTAAACTGCAAACAGAACTACAAATACATGTGTTTAAACTGCAGACGGAACTACAAATACATGTGTTTAAACTGCAAACTGAACTACAAACACATGTGTTTAAACTGCAGACGGAACTACAAATACATGTGTTTAAACTGCAGACGGAACTACAAATACATGTGTTTAAACTGCAGACGGAACTACAAATACATGTGTTTAAACTGCAAACGGAACTACAAATACATGTGTTTAAACTGCAGACGGAACTACAAATACATGTGTTTAAACTGCAAACGGAACTACAAATACATGTGTTTAAACTGCAGACGGAACTACAAATACATGTTTAAACTGCAGACGGAACTACAAATACATGTGTTTAAACTGCAAACAGAACTACAAATACATGTGTTTAAACTGCAGACGGAACTACAAATACATGTGTTTAAACTGCAGACGGAACTACAAATACATGTCTTTAAACTGCAGACGGAACTACAAATACATGTGTTTAAACTGCAGACGGAACTACAAATACATGTGTTTAAACTGCAAACAGAACTACAAATACATGTGTTTAAACTGCAGACGGAACTACAAATACATGTGTTTAAACTGCAAACTGAACTACAAACACATGTGTTTAAACTGCAGACGGAACTACAAATACATGTGTTTAAACTGCAGACGGAACTACAAATACATGTGTTTAAACTGCAGACGGAACTACAAATACATGTGTTTAAACTGCAAACAGAACTACAAATACATGTGTTTAAACTGCAGACGGAACTACAAATACATGTGTTTAAACTGCAAACAGAACTACAAATACATGTGTTTAAACTGCAGACGGAACTACAAATACATGTGTTTAAACTGCAGACGGAACTACAAATACATGTGTTTAAACTGCAAACAGAACTACAAATACATGTGTTTAAACTGCAGACGGAACTACAAATACATGTGTTTAAACTGCAGACGGAACTACAAATACATGTGTTTAAACTGCAGACGGAACTACAAACACATGTGTTTAAACTGCAGACGGAACTACAAATACATGTGTTTAAACTGCAGACGTAACTACAAATACATGTGTTTGAACTGCAAACGGAACTACAAATACAGTGGGAAAGATAATAGGGTAAAGGGAAAATAAACCCAGACACGTAACATTTACCTGCATCGTTCAGAGTGATGGAGGCTGTTCCTGTTGCTGCAGCGGAAGTTTGTTTCACAAAGTCTGAAAAGACGCAAACAACTCAATCATTTTTATACTAAATACTTAATACTAAAGGAGCAGTGTGTAAACATGTGGCCAAAAGTGGTACTGCAGCCTCTCCCACTCTCCCTGACTCAGGTTGCCAGATATGCAGACGAATCCAGCTGGGACCATAACAGCTGAATAGACAAGAGTTTTGTCAACAACAAATCTATAACCAACACCTTTTTCACAAAGATAGAAATCCTGGTTTTATTCCTTGTTTTGTCGTTACATACGTACATGAAAATATATTATTAATACTCAGAGGCAGTATACCTGAAGTCAAAGAAAAGGGAAAAGTGTATTTGTTAAAAGTTCTGGCTCTGGTTGCCCACAAAGTAATTACAGGTAACTGGCTCAAACCGAATTCCACTTTGGACCAATGGACTCAAAGACTGAAATCTGTTTGGAAGAAATCACTGCAATTTTACGACTGAAGAAGGACATTTACTGTATTTGAACAATTGGGCGCCTATAAACGCCCAACGAGATAGTATATTTGACTAAATTGTTTGTCCATTCATAGTTTTCTCTTTCTCCCTCCCGTTTTGGACTGTACAGAATGTGAGGCTATTTCTTTGCAAACAAGATGTCAAACAATGTGTGCGACCATTTCAAGGATTTGTTCTGTTTGAATAAAAGTTTTAAAAAAAAGAAAATGTATTATTCTTATTATTGTTATTATCATCATACACTTGTTTAAATGTAATATAATATATAAGCAGAGGATCTTTTCACATGAAGAAGATAAAAATACAGTTTCAACATTGAATTAGGTCTAAGTTTGGATTCTTCTGGAACCGAAAAGAACATTGGAAAAACTTAAAACAGGCCCTGAATACATTATGTAGTGATTCTTATGACTTTGAGCTGGGATAAAGTTAGTGGAAAGTTTGACAACTCATAAAATGATCAAAACTATGTTCCATGGAATTATAGACAACACAAATTTAACTGATTTTGTTTCATGAAAGGCATGGAAAAGGCCCCAAAACTCTTGTTGGAGACTGAACCCCATCGCATGCTGACCCTGAGCCCAACCCTTCTGCTCCATCCCACTGCAGCTGTGTAGTCCTGGTACCTGTGCAGACTCCGCCGTCCTTGAAGTTCTGGATATAATTGTCTCCAAAGAAATCCTTTCCAACCTACAGAACTCAGAAGGCAGAACGATTACAACAAAGAAAGAGTCAAGCAAGGTCAGACTTGGTTAGCGGCAACTTCTGAAAAGTGGTCTACTCAAATCTCTGTTGGGTTGTGTTTTGCCCTGGCAGCATCCTGGCATCGAGCCGCCAACAGAAAAGTGTAGAAATGAACCGATATAGCCAAAAAAATGCATTTTTTTTTGCAAACACGACCAGCTGCGCCAAGCCTGGAAGACAAGATAACCCCGCCTTCACGCCTCCTCATGCCCACCTCGCTTTCGTTTTCCCTTCCTCGCCCGCTCAGCACTGGGATGTCCACATCTGTAGCTACTTTGGGCTTTTCAAGGGGTCCCCACCTTTCCCCGAGGCGCTCAAAACGAATTCACGCTTTCCAAAAAATATGCCAAAACTCGGGCACTTGCGGTTGGCTGTGATAACGGTTTGGGCTTGCATTGGCCCCATTGGCTTTGAAGAGCGGCCTTGTGTCTTGGATGTTTTTGTCAAACCCGGTTGTCTATTTTTGGGTTTCCCCCACGCCCGGAGAGCTCCTTCTGCTCTGCACTGTTATCGATCAGGCTTCTTTGTTCTGACAGAGGTTGCTTCGTTGCTTTAGCGTTCAGGTTGAGAGGCCACTTTCAGCCCACTGATTGGAGAGTTGGGGTGATATAGTCTGGGAATAGACCTGTTTGAAGGAGCAGCAGTGTGGGTGGTGTATGCATGTAGTATGGTATTGATCAACAGGGAAACTATGTGCACAATGTTGAAGTTATGATACAAACAAAGCTACAAGGCCGAGAGTTGAGAAGAAGAACCTGCACGACTCTCGCTCACGACAGACACCAATAGTTCTTATTTTCACCTGAGCGCGATACATACTAAGTCACATTATCTCTACATACACAAACACATACAAACATGTTCTTTCTTAAAGGTGCAGTTAGCGATGTTGTTAGCTTAGCCGTAGCACTCCCCCCTCCCCTCCCTCTTCACCAAACCAAGCATCCAGCATTTTCTTTTCTTTGTCACAGGGAGAGTGAAGCAAACGTGAAACTGGCATTCTCTGTTCAGCCATTTTAGGTTTTGGAAAATCGCGAGAAACAGGAAGAGGGTGAAGGGGGTAAACACATCCCATTGGTTCGTTGGGAATGAACGAATCCCATTGGTTCATTTTAATCGGTCTGCTCCAAAATATTTTTCATTATTTTTGTAGACTATAGACATCCGGTCAATTCCATTACTATTTGAAAAAACATGATAACTTGATACATTTCGGTTTTAGGGACGTTTTCCCACAATATTTAAAAAAATGCGTCTGGAGAAAATCGCTGCCTGTATCTTTAAGGACAGATTGTGACTTCTGGGACGTACCATGCAGACCATGGCACTGTCCGCGCCCAGTCGTGCTGCTTGTACACATTGGTTGGCGCCTTTTCCACCAAACCCGATGAAGAACTTGTGCCCATGGATGGTTTCTCCTGCTTTCGGTAATCTCGGAGCCTGGCTAAAGACACAAGAAGCAAACAACAAGAAATCATCAAGTTTAAACATGGATTATGTAGATCACACAGGCAGAAGTCACACAACAAAGCATGAGATTATTTTAAAAGAGATGGAGGCATGAACTGAGAACTAATATACAGTTGAAACAATTGGATAATTATGCAATATGTTGTAAGTTCATAATTTGTAAGTTTTTATTTTTCATTATATTTCTACTCTTCTTGGTCTTCATGCAGTATATAGCACTGTATGAATATAAGCCGTACATATTGTATATTGATAATGGTAATGGAAATGGCGACTAGACCATAAAAACATCTCTGGTCTTTAACGTGCCTTTAAAATATGGCTGTTTATGAAAACGAGCGTCAATTAGAAGAAGAGAATTATGGGACGTTTATGTACTTTTTGGGCAAATTGATTAGAATCATGTGAAATTCAGTAAAAGAAAAATCATTTAAAAACAAGAAATATAACTTTAACTTCTACCTACTCCTTTTCGAATGCTGTCAGCTGTTTTTTTAATATATTTTTTATGATAAACGATCTATGTAACAGTAACGTCAGTAAAGTCAAAGGAGCAGTGTGTAAACATGTGGCCAAAAGTGGTACTGCAGCCTCTCCCACTCTCCCTGACTCAGGTTGCCAGATATTCAGACGAATCCAGCTGGGACCATAACAGCTGAATAGACAAGAGTTTTGTCAACAACTAATCTATAACCAACACCTTTTTCACAAAGATAGAAATCCTGGTTTTATTCCTTGTTTTGTCGTTAATGATTTGAGAATCATAACGAGACCTTTTTTAGTTCTGCGCCACATGGTACTTTACCAGTGAGATTAGCTCAACGCGGTGAGTTAAGAACTAATAACAAATTTAAGGATGACAGATTAGGGCCCTTTAATGGTGACAGATCAGGGCCGTTTAACGATGACAGATTAGGGCCTTTTAATGATGACAGATTAGGGCCCTTTAATGATGACAGATTAGGGCCCTTTAATGATGAAAGATTAGGGCCCTTTAATGATGACAGATTATGGCCCTTTAATGATGACAGATCAGGGCCCTTTAACGATGACAGATTAGGGCCTTTTAATGATGACATATTAGGGCCCTTTAATGATGACAGATTATGGCCCTTTAATGATGACAGATTAGGGCCCTTTAATGATGAAAGATTAGGGCCCTTTAATGATCACAGATTATGGCCCTTTAATGATGACAGATCAGGGCCCTTTAACGATGACAGATTAGGGCCCTTTAATGATGACAGATTAGGGCCCTTTAATGATGACAGATTAGGGCCCTTTAATGATGACAGTTTAGGGCCCTTTAATGACGACAGATTAGGGCCCTTTAATGACGACAGATTAAGACCGTTTAGTGACGACAGATTAGGGCCCTTTAACGATGACAGATTAGGGCCCTTTAATGATGACAGTTTAGGGCCCTTTAATGACGACAGATTAGGGCCCTTTAATGACGACAGATTAAGACCCTTTAGTGACGTCAGATTAGGGCCCTTTAACGATGACAGATTAGGGCCCTTTAATGATGATTTGACATGAAAATCTTACTAATTGCGACTTTAAACGCAGATTAATGGAATTGCTGTAAATCCTGCTGTTTTTCCTGTGAATAGAGTAAATGCCCGAAGCTAGAGCAGGAAGCGAGAGCACGAAGCCTGAAAAACAAGGAAACTGAACAAAGGTCGAGCTCATGTAAATAAACCTCCTCTTAGGGCAAAAAAAACTATAATCCATAAATGTAATTCATTCATTTTGCTTTAACGTGTGTGACTATGAGAGACAGCCTGCTCTGAGTGTATAAGGCTAATCTAGTAATGTTGTTAGAGGTTTGTTTATTCGGTTATACAATTATTATATATATTTATTTTTTTGGACATTGAAAAAGGCATAAAAAACGACAAGGCTTAGTAATGTTCATGCTGTAACTTAGATCTACAAACGCATTTGTGTCGAAGGGATTAGGCTGAAGTGTAATTTGTTTTTGCCTAGTCCAATTCATAAAGTAAAACCCTTTCAAAATAAAAGCCTAAATTTCAAGATCAGTAGAAAAAAATAATAAACAATAGGACGAAAAACCAAGTCGTATAATAACAACACACAAACTACAGTCCTTGGGCAAGACACTTCACCCCCATTGCCTAGAATGAGTCTGGTGTGTGTGTGAATGGTTGGTGGTGGTGGGAGGGGCCTTGCTTCTGTCAGTGTGCCCCAGGGCAGCTGTGGCGACTGCAGTATTTGTTTAATGTATTGTTTATTTGGTTGGGACACGTCACTCCGGATTGTTCCATGAGCTAATTTGAGCTAATCACACTCACAAACACACACTCATTCACCCTGAACTATTGTACATGTTTTTAGAGGTAGAGCAAACCTACGCAGACACAGGCAGAACATGCAAACTCCACTCAGAAAGAACCTGTTCCGATAGGGATTCGAACCCAGAACTTTCTTGCTGAGAGGCGAGAGGGCTATCCACTGCCGTGCCGTAGTTTATCACCACCGTGTTTGGAGAGAAAGAATAACGAGCGTCCAAAAAGCGCTGTATAAAACTGATACATTATTATTATTATTATTATTAAAGAGACTGTGTTCATGAGTCAAAGGTCAAAGCACCTGCGTTTCCTCACAACATGTTTGTTTAAAGCCCGGGTCTTTCCCTCGACCAAAGTTCATCCTGAAGTGAGTGAGAGACGAGAGGAAGTGGACACAGTTGGAGAAAAACAGCCTTGTGTTGTGTCACTGATCATTCCAGGGATTAGAACAATATTAGTTTTCATTTTCTGATTGTGTAAAGGCGTATTTATCGACTCGCTTCAACGCATTCTGGAGAAAATGGTTTTATCTGTGGCGTATTAGCAGCGTATTATTGTCACGTTTTGGCACATAGGAAAAGGCAGGTGAAGGAGAGTGTGGGATGATAATGTTTGTTTCATGTTTTAACCGAAAAGTCAGATTTTTAGGATTTACATGGAGCCTGCTGAGTTTTCTGGTTTGCTCAGCCAGCAGGGGGCGCTACACAGCTTTAACAATAGACTTAAGGCTTCCATATATGATGATAATGGACCTGTATCTGATTTTAAGATAAGATAAGATAAGATAAGATAAACCTTTATTAGTCTCACAGTGGAGAAATTTCAGTGTCATCGTTGCACATTACAGCAGAGAAAGGAAATAAGAGCACTCAGATTGCACACATTAAAGTCTATTATTTAAGATAATAGGAAATAAGTTTAAGATAAAATAAAATAAAATAAAATAAGAAAATCTGGGCTACAATTGCACTTGGTTCGGAGTATTTACAGATGTCTATATTATACATTAGCAGCGGAATATTAGAATATGAGAATATGAGAATAAACATCAGAAATAACGTGTTTTATGTGTGTGTTGTGTTCTGTAATGGCTGGAAAGCACATTGTGGCAACCATGTTTTTAAAATGTGCTACATATTGCTACAAATGTGATATATATTACTAAGAAAACCTCCAAAACCTCATTAAAGCCTAACATAGCAATGAACATGAGTTTAGAGACAGATGAGGAAATCATTACACAAGTTGACAGCCAAAAAATGGTCAGGGGTTTCTCAGCTGATTCAGACTAATGTTGGTGTTCTGAGTCTGAATATCACATGCATTTGTCTCTATTAGGTCAACTGTGTGAGATACAGCCATAGTGTTACGGATTATGTACGTCTACGTTATTAGGAATTCTGCTTATCAAATTTGGAGTAAATAAAAACTGAATGACTTTGGATACGTTGACTTTTATTTCTTGAGGAAAACGGAAGCAACGTCAAGGGTTTCTCAGCTGAGGATCCGCAGAAATTAGTTTTTTACGCAAAATCGATTTAAACAAATATTTCTGTAGCAAAAAATCCTGATCTGATTGAACAAAACCAACGTCATTTTCAGACTCAGAGCATCAACATTAGTCTGATTCAGCTGAAAACCCTGGACTATTTTCAAACAATATTTTTTTGTTACCCAGTGTTATATTTTAAATTTATTAGGTCTCTGTGTTTCATCGCCACCTGGAAATGAGCCGTAAACCTGAGAATACCAATAAAAAGCACCTAGAATGACATGGTGTTTAAAAGTATGAATAAATTCTTAAACCATGTGCGATACTGCAACTCTGCACAACTACATGTATACATCTGGAACAGTCTTCCTGAAGATGTGAGACAGGCCTCCTCTCTGACAATGCTTAAAACCAGGTTAAAGACAGTTCTGTTTAGCTGTGCTACAACTGAGGGATTTTATATTTTTATCTTTTTAATGTTCTGTGATTATTTACTTTGAGTTGCCTTCTGTATGTTTGTGCTATATAAATAAACTTGCCTTGCCTATATATTTTGCCTTGTATTGAAGCATTTCCAGCATCTACAGCCAGTTATGCTAGCTAAGAAACACAACATAGCTATTGCGTATTGTGTGTATATTGTGTGTGCTCCCTGTGTGCTCTTGCTACTGTCCTGTCTGTGCGCTGCAACACTGACATTTCCCCTCTGTGGGACGACTAAAGGAAGTCTGATCTGCTGTGATTGTGATGATTGTGTATCTGCTGTGTCTGCTATGATTGTGTGTCTGCTATGATTGTGTATCTGCTATGATTGTGTGTCTGCTGTGATTGTGTATCTGCTATGATTGTGCATCTGCTGTGATTGTGTGTCTGCTATGATTGTGTATCTGCTATGATTGTGCATCTGCTGTGATTGTGATGATTGTGTATCTGCTATGATTGTTTGTCTGCTATGATTGTGTATCTGCTGTGATTGTGTATCTGCTGTGATTGTGATGATTGTGTATCTGCTATGATTGTGTGTCTGCTATGATTGTGTATCTGCTGTGATTGTGCATCTGCTGTGATTGTGATGATTGTGTATCTGCTATGATTGTGTGTCTGCTATGATTGTGTATCTGCTGTGATTGTGTATCTGCTGTGATTGTGATGATTGTGTATCTGCTATGATTGTGTATATGCTGTGATTGTGCATCTGCTGTGATTGTGTGTCTGCTGTGATTGTGTTGATTGTGTATCTGCTATGATTGTGTGTCTGCTATGATTGTGTATCTGCTGTGATTGTGTATCTGCTGTGATTGTGATGATTGTGTATCTGCTATGATTGTGTATATGCTGTGATTGTGCATCTGCTGTGATTGTGTGTCTGCTGTGATTGTGTTGATTGTGTGTCTGCTGTGATTGTGTATCTGCTGTGATTGTGATGATTGTGTGTCTGCTGTGATTGTGTGTCTTGCTGTGATTGTGATGATTGTGTGTCTGCTGTGATTGTGTGTCTTGCTGTGATTGTGATGATTGTTTGTCTGCTATGATTGTTATATCCTGATTATGTTCTTCCTGAAGCACCTGGAGCACCTGGAGGAAACTGAACAAACTTCCAGCGAGCTCTGATGCGCACAGATCCTGTCTCTGTGAGGTTGATCTACGACAAAATAAATAAATAAATAAATAAAAATAAATGTCTAAAGTTGCTGGAATCTAAAGTGAGAGAAAACACACGCCGTGCTTCAGCCTTGTTCAGCTGCAGTTGTGCTTTTATTTTGAGTAAGTGACAAATTGTTTTCAACTCTGTCTTTGGTGCAACAGTTGGTGACTCAGGATTTGTGGGAAAAGATTCAACTCTTGCCACATGAAGAGATGACGCAACGTAACTCATCAACATCACTCTTTCATCTCATTTTACTGCTACAAATCAGAACGAGGAGGTCCCAAAACAGTTAACCCATTGACTCCCATTGACTGACATTGACTCCCATTGACTGACATTGACTCCCATTGACTGACATTGACTCCCATTGACTCCCATTGACTGAAATTGACTCCCATTGACTCCCATTGACTGAAATTGACTCCCATTGACTCCCATTGACTGAAATTGACTGACATTGACTGACATTGACTCCCATTGACTGCCATTGACTCCCATTGACTGCCATTGACTCCTATTGACTGCCATTGACTCCCATTGACTGCCATTGACTGCCATTGACTGCCATTGACTCCCATTGACTGACATTGACTCCCATTGACTGACGTTGACTCCCATTGACTGACATTGACTCCCATTGACTGACATTGACTCCCATTGACTGACATTGACTCCCATTGACTGACATTGACTCCCATTGACTGACATTGACTCCCATTGACTGACATTGACTCCCATTGACTCCCATTGACTGACATTGACTCCCATTGACTGAAATTGACTCCCATTGACTGAAATTGACTCGCATTGACTCCCATTGACTGAAATTGACTCCCATTGACTGAAATTGACTCCCATTGACTCCCATTGACTGAAATTGACTCCCATTGACTCCCATTGACTGAAATTGACTGACATTGACTGACATTGACTCCCATTGACTGCCATTGACTCCCATTGACTGCCATTGACTCCTATTGACTGCCATTGACTCCCATTGACTGCCATTGACTGCCATTGACTGCCATTGACTCCCATTGACTGACATTGACTCCCATTGACTGACATTGACTCCCATTGACTGACATTGACTCCCATTGACTGACATTGACTCCCATTGACTCCCATTGACTGACATTGACTCCCATTGACTGACATTGACTCCCATTGACTCCCATTGACTGACATTGACTCCCATTGACTGACATTGACGTATTTGTCTGAGACCCTCTTTTCGACTGCGGATTACAGAATTACTAAATTAGCAAAAAACAAACTTATTTTTGCAGATGAAAGTAGACAATCCAGTCTTTCAGAATCTAGTTTCATATTTCACATAGTCACAGCACATAATATTCTGTGGGTCTTGAGATTCAGTGAACTCATCAAAAACGGCAGCAGTCAATGAGTGAATTACTGGTCAGATTTATTCACTGAAATAACCAAAAAGATGCTGATTTTTTTAATTGCAAGTTTTTTGTTATTGCTTGAATGTATTATTTTACTGGTTTTAAAATACTTCATAATCTCAGAGAAAAAAGTCTGAGCAGTGAGTTTTTAAGCTTGTTTTAACTATCTTTTTTTAATATTTCGAGACTTTTCTTTAGATAAAATATGTTTGTGATGCTGTATTTCAAGAAATCTCAAAAATGTTGAATAAATCAGTTAAAAACGCTTGAAATTTATGTTTTTAAACTAGAATCACGTCATATGGGGATGGTATTTATTAAAATTATTTTCAGAAATCTTACGTCATATTTCCTTCTTCTATTGTTGATAATTTTTATTATTTTAAGTTGTATTTTATTTATTTTCATATATGTTTTTCAAGTGATAATTCCACAGTAGTAATTGCTAAACTACAGTCAGAAACACAGTCAGTATTTTAATCTAAAATCCTTAATTTAGGAAGAGAACAGGACTGTGCATGTTTTTGGGGATATAGGAGAAAAGGCAGTTTAGTCACAGTTTAGCGTATTACCATATTTACCACATTTACCATATTTGTCATATTGAGACTATACCATGTGCTGCAAAGTGAGTGACATTTATATTTGGATGTGTTGAAACAGTAGATCTTTCAAAACAGTGGAATCTTTCCTTACTCACCTCACTAAATCTGTCATGCAGGAGCCCACCACGATCACGTCTAAAGTCTGATCCGACGTCATCTGAGAGACACAGAGAACTCAATATATTCATTTACACGTTTTTCTTCATGGTTTTACACTGGTCCAGACCAGAGCAGAGAGGATTCATGGTTTTACACTGGTCCAGACCAGAGCAGAGAGGATTCATGGTTTTACACTGGTCCAGACCAGAGCAGAGAGGATTCATGGTTTTACACTGGTCCAGACCAGAGCAGAGAGGATTCATGGTTTTATACTGGTCCAGACCAGAGCAGAGAGGATTCATGGTTTTACACTGGTCCAGACCAGAGCAGAGAGGATTCATGGTTTTATACTGGTCCAGACCAGAGCAGAGAGGATTCATGGTCCGAACCAAGTGGATCAGGTGAAAATCCACCGGAGGAATGCTAACTTTATGAAAAATGCAATGAAGCCTTTAGCATTTTACTTTGGACCAGAGCAGAGAAAATGGTCTGAACTAAGCTCCACCTCTGCTGCTGTGACCTGAAGGACTGTTGTTATTTTATTATTACTATTATTGTTATTATTTTTTATTATTGTTAGATACTTTTAGAATGATCTATATATTTGTTTTGTTTGTTTGGATGGATGTGTTTCTGCTGCTGCTGGACTCCTGCATTTCTCCAACAGGGATCTATCTATGTATATATGTATCTATCTATAGAATGTGTCTCAAACAGTTGCACTTAGCAGAAGCAAACACACAAATAGGGCATTCATCATTGCCTCACTTGGAAAGATGCCAGGTTTATTGGGGGATGTAATGCGATACATTTCAATACTACCCTGGAATCCAATGCAAAACAGCCAGTAATTAATTCAATCCTCTGCTTGTATCAGAGCTATGAGTTAATCTCCTCAAATCTCTTCCTAGTCAGAGGAACACTTGGAAAGCCTGGCCGCTGGCTGTGGGGCGGTTCAATTCTTTCCCCCAAATCCACGTGCATGTTGTCCTCCTGCACATGCAAAATTCATCTGAGACACTGCAGATTATTTTAAGAAGTGTTTTAAAGGTGAGAAAGCACAACAAGGTGATGAAGACGATGATGTACAGCTGTCATGCATAGTTTTTTTACTCAATGTTGTTACTATTGGGGCTGTGTTATAACCATAGACAGTGTGTTATAACGAAATATACAAGGATAGTTGGGCATGCGCAGTAATGACAAAATATACCACAGATGGGGACTAGGCCGAATTAAAACGGACTCTATAAAAACACAGAAAAAATGTATGTGTTATGGAATAGACGACCCCCACGGACCTCACCTCTTTTTAGCCGACAATAAAAATAACTACTAATCAAACAAGGAGCAAAACTATTTTCCAGCCTGACATAATTTAAAAACACTGAATAAATAAATAGAATAAATATAGTTTCTCCGTTCTTGTTTGTACGAAACTTCTGAGCGCAGACAAAAGGAGGATTTTTAATGGTATGTTTTAAAACTTTTAGTGTCGTTACTGCTTCCGGGAGCGACGTGTTATGCATTAAATATGGGGGCAACAATAATACATTAAAAACATGCCATTTTGTGTGTTGAAATCATAGACTGTAGAAACACAAAAAGTCTGCAAGAAGCTGTTTTTGTTTTACCTTCACAAATGTTGCACACGTATCCACCATAGACTGTAAATGTTAAACTACTGTAAATATTAAAGTATCCACCACAGACTGTAAATAATACTGTAAATATTAAAGTATCCACCACAGACTGTAAATATTAAACCACTGTAAATATTAAAGTATCCACCAACACGACGTTCAAAGATCACGCTCAGTCTCTGTCAGTGCAAACTTCTGCCCGATTCTTTTTCGTTCAGAAAGTGTCACGTGGGCTCTTGAAAACGTAAAAATATTAAGTATTAGGATTAAAAAGTATGTGGGAAATGCTGCATAAGACTTTAGCCAAATCCCATTTCAAAAAGCGCTACGAAGTCTTCAAAACCTTCTCAGGCATTATCCAGGACAGCTACCCCCGGGTCCTTCGGAGGACACACGGAGGCAACTTGTCAACACAAACCCCCGGCTCTGATCTAAACTGCTGTGTCCGCTTTTTGTCACGTTTACACACTTCATTCTATATACGCCAACAAAACTTATTGATTGACTGCGGAACCTTCCGCAGTCAACCATTGGTTTTGTATTTCTTTATTCCGTCATTTTTTTTGACACGTTTCACAGCTTTCACATTTTCAACAATTTCCACAAGTTATACATCAAAACGTTCCACATGTTTGGGAGATTATTGCTATTACTTTTGGGACTTCAGCGATTTCCGGTTTTTCCGCAATCGGACAAAAATCTGCATTGAGAATTCTGCAATGCATTTTAATAGGCCCATGCATTTTAATAGGACTTCAGCTCTTTCAGACATTTCTACAGTTTCAATGATTCAACAGTTTCAAGGATTCAACAGTTTCAAGGATTTCAGCAGTTTCAAGGATTTCAGCAGTTTCAAGATTTCAAGAGTTTCAAGGACTTCAACAGTTTCAAGGACTTCAGCAGTTTCAAGGACTTCAGCAGTTTCAAGGACTTCAGCAGTTTTCAAGGACTTCAGCAGTTTCAAGGACTTCAGCAGTTTCAAGGACTTCAGCAGTTTCAAGGACTTCAGTGTAATCATGCAACCTAATAGGGGTTTTTTCATGTAAACCAGTATAATGCAACTTAATAGGGTTTTTTCATGTAAACCAGTATAATGCAACTTAATAGGGGTTTTTACATGTAAACCAGTATAATGCAACTTAATAGGGTTTTTTTCATGTAAACCAGTATAATGCAACTTAATAGGGGTTTTTACATGTAAACCAGTATAATGCAACTTAATAGGGTTTTTTCATGTAAACCAGTATAATGCAACTTAATAGGGATTTTTCCATGTAAACCAGTATAATGCAACTTAATGGGGATTTTTCCATGTAAACCAGTATAATGCAACTTAATAGGGGTTTTTACATGTAAACCAGTATAATGCAACTTAATAGGGTTTTTTCCATGTAAACCAGTATAATGCAACTTAATAGGGTTTTTTCCATGTAAACCAGTACAATGCAACTTAATAGGGATTTTTCCATGTAAACCAGTATAATGCAACTTAATAGGGTTTTTTACATGTAAACCAGTATAATGCAACTTAATGGGGATTTTTCCATGTAAACCAGTATTATGCAACTTAATAGGGATTTTTCCATGTAAACCAGTATAATGCAACTTAATAGGGTTTTTTCATGTAAACCAGTATAATGCAACTTAATAGGGTTTTTTTCATGTAAACCAGTATAATGCAACTTAATAGGGATTTTTCCATGTAAACCAGTATAATGCAACTTAATAGGGTTTTTTTTCATGTAAACCAGTATAGGGATTTTTCCATGTAAACCAGTATAATGCAACTTAATAGGGTTTTTTACATGTAAACCAGTATAATGCAACTTAATGGGGATTTTTCCATGTAAACCAGTATTATGCAACTTAATAGGGATTTTTTTCCATGTAAACCAGTATAATGCAACTTAATAGGGTTTTTTCATGTAAACCAGTATAATGCAACTTAATAGGGTTTTTTTTCATGTAAACCAGTATAATGCAACTTAATGGGGATTTTTCCATGTAAACCAGTATAATGCAACTTAATAGGGGTTTTTACATGTAAACCAGTATAATGCAACTTAATAGGGTTTTTTCATGTAAACCAGTATAATGCAACTTAATAGGGTTTTTTTTCATGTAAACCAGTATAATGCAACTTAATGGGGATTTTTCCATGTAAACCAGTATAATGCAACTTAATAGGGGTTTTTACATGTAAACCAGTATAATGCAACTTAATAGGGTTTTTTCCATGTAAACCAGTATAATGCAACTTAATAGGGTTTTTTCCATGTAAACCAGTATAATGCAACTTAATAGGGTTTTTTCCATGTAAACCAGTACAATGCAACTTAATAGGGATTTTTCCATGTAAACCAGTATAATGCAACTTAATAGGGTTTTTTTACATGTAAACCAGTATAATGCAACTTAATGGGGATTTTTCCATGTAAACCAGTATTATGCAACTTAATAGGGATTTTTCCATGTAAACCAGTATAATGCAACTTAATAGGGTTTTTTCATGTAAACCAGTATAATGCAACTTAATAGGGTTTTTTTCATGTAAACCAGTATAATGCAACTTAATGGGGATTTTTCCATGTAAACCAGTATAATGCAACTTAATAGGGGTTTTTACATGTAAACCAGTATAATGCAACTTAATAGGGTTTTTTACATGTAAACCAGTATAATGCAACTTAATAGGGTTTTTTCCATGTAAACCAGTATAATGCAACTTAATAGGGTTTTTTCCATGTAAACCAGTACAATGCAACTTAATAGGGATTTTTCCATGTAAACCAGTATAATGCAACTTAATAGGGTTTTTTACATGTAAACCAGTATAATGCAACTTAATGGGGATTTTTCCATGTAAACCAGTATTATGCAACTTAATAGGGATTTTTCCATGTAAACCAGTATAATGCAACTTAATAGGGATTTTTCCTTGTAAACCAGTATAATGCAACTTAATAGGGTTTTTTTCATGTAAACCAGTATAATGCAACTTAATGGGGATTTTTCCATGTAAACCAGTATTATGCAACTTAATAGGGATTTTTCCATGTAAACCAGTATAATGCAACTTAATAGGGTTTTTACATGTAAACCAGTATAATGGAACTTAATAGGGGTTTTTACATGTAAACCAGTATAATGGAACTTAATAGGGGTTTTTACATGTAAACCAGTATAATGCAACTTAATAAGGATTTTTACATGTAAACCACTATAATGTAACCTAATAGGGGTTTTTACATGTAAACCAGTATAAAGCAACTTAATAGGGATTTGTACATGTAAACCAGTATAATGCAACCTAATAGGGATTTTTCCATGTAAACCAGTATAATGCAACTTAATAGAGATTTTTCCATGTAAACCAGTATAATGCAACTTAATAGGGATTTTTCCATGTAAACCAGTATAATGCAACCTAATAGGGATTTTTCCATGTAAACCAGTATAATGCAACCTAATAGGGATTTTTCCATGTAAACCAGTATAATGCAACCTAATAGGTTGCATTATACCACCAGACCAAGACCCAAACGAAGACTCAGACCACCACCAGATAATGACCACAGACCAGGTTTCCTTAGTTACAGGAACCAAATTGTTTCAGCGGTGAGGGGATTTTTCAGTTTCAAGGACACTTTCAATACATTCAGTAGTTTCAAGGATTTCAACTGTTTAAGAATTTAACCAGTTTCAAGGATATCAGGAGGTTCAAGGATTTCAGGAGTTTCCACACTTTCAACAGTTTCCAGGTTTAAAAAAAGTTTCAAGGATTTCAGGAGTTTCAATGTTTCAACAGTTTCAAGGATTTCAGGAGTTTAAAGGTTTCAACAATTTCAAGGACTTCAGGAGTTTCAAATATCTATCAAGTATTTTAACAGTTTCAAGGCCTTTTAAAGGATTTCAAGGATTTTTTTTAGCAGATTTCCACATTAGATCTGTTCCGCAGTCAATCGCAATGGCTTCAGCCATTGCAAGTTTCTAGTTATTGTTATTATTACAAGCACAAAATATAAATCTTAGACCTTTTTGAGGAGTATGAGATAACCCAAGTCAACATGGTGCCCATAGTTAAGTTCTTTCATTATAAAAAGAATATTTAGTCTGTTCTTTATTATTATTTATTTTCATTTCAAACCTTTCATTTAACGTAAAATAGTTCAGCAATTAACAACATGTGTGTATGACCCCAACTCTTCACCCATTCAACACAATAACACACATTACAGAACCACTCACTATGTCCCAAGCACTGACCCTTCACTAGCCTGGTCTTACACTTTTTAAATGCCTTTATTAATAGAGCACAATTATTTACAACAAATGTACATTGCATGCAGTAATATATCAACAGTGATAATATTTACAGTGGTTTAAAATTGTAAAGTGTCCCATGGGAGGTGAGGAGAGTTGTTACGTTGCTGCTTGAGTCGTGTTATGACTTGTTTGTATATTGTGAAACTGTCAATGAAAGTTTGTGATATTGTCATTTTTGTCCGTGTTTTCCAGCCTGGTCTTACCATACCATAGCACACATTTTAACACGTCTTAATTCTCCCACAACATTCTTCCAAATGTTAACTCCACACACTGAGATACACAGTGATTTCTAAAGAAGTTTGAGATTTGGGCAAGTTTTAAATTGTCAGATGCCCTGAACAGTGAGAAAGTAAATCCGGTTTTATGATTTAAGGTATTTTAATTCTAGGAGCAGATTTGGTAGTTTTTACTTGTCATGTATATTATGATTATTTCTATTATTATTATTATTATTATTATCTTTATTTATCAGACTCGAAGTCCATAAAAAACAAACAAACACATCACAAACACAACAGACAAACAGTTATAAAAGAAAACTGTACCAGAGCTTCCACAGAGCTGACTGGTAGCGCACAGAACTCTATGTTACCAGTGTCGAGAGTAACACGATACAAAAGTAATATTACAGTGCAGCACATTAAATAATCGTCACAAGTAATGCTCAGACTGTACATTACTGCCTTTGTGTGCTCTGGTAAAAATGATTTCCCTACTTCCCTCGGAACTGGTAATTACAGTGTGTTCTGTTGTCGTAAGTTAAACTAATGCTGGCGACTGCAACTTTTATGAATTAATAAAACTGTCCCTAGACATTACGCTGTGATTTGAATATTCCACATGGATTGATGGGAAGCTAAATGTGGGAGCGCACCATAAGAACTAAATGACTCACTGTTTAATAAATACCAGACAAACAAGAAACAGATTTTCTGGTGTGAGAAAACCTTATTTTTTTTAGGGAGAGTCATGAAGTCAGTTTCTTCCATGGATCTATAATAATAACAAGTTTCTGCTGATTACTAAACAATTATATTTAAATAAATGAATTCCTTTGCTGGTCTCTGTCGATGGTGTTTAGTAAATGCGAAGTGTATCATCCTCAACAACATTTTGATGATTTTGGTGAACAAGATCAAAAACAGGCCTTCAGAATAGAACATTTCCTCTTTTAACCATATTTTGTGAATTTGGCACCACTGCCTCCTGATCTTTTGTCAACGTCACATTTGCTCACGGTTTTAGTAAGTCTTAAAAATTCTTTCCTTGTTAAATCCTCCTTCTACAGGTTTCTGGTTGAGTTATGTGTATGTTTTAATGCACAAAGTCCTCAGGATTTCTGAAAAGCACAAACACCTCCCTTTCTGTGCAGGCAAACTGAGAGATCTACTGGGTCCTTCAAAGGACCCAAATGACAAATTCCCGGAAATGTCGAGAGGAAGTAAACATTAGTCTAATCTAACTTTAAAACTTGTTCAGGTAATGATTAATTCCAATGATGCGGTATGTTTCTTTGGTTAAATATGTAATGATTCAGTGAGGGGTAGATTTAACTTTAATATTAGCTCAGATTTCCTATAAATACTGCATGAGTCCCGTGTTAGACTGATATGTAGCAGCACAGCGCATGTTATTGTCCTGATAATGATCCTTTCTCTCAGCATGACCAAACTACATGGGTAACCGTGTGTTCACAGACACAGATGAGCCTGTCTCCTGAAGCCGCCCTGCCCCGGGTCGCTCCGGAGCTGCGGCCGCTGCTCTCCCACGTGGTTAGGCACGGACGCGTGGGTCTGGACTCCAGCAACTGCCTCCGAGTCACAGACATCAAGACTGGGTAATGATGGATGTGTGTCTTTAAACTGGGTAATGATGGATGTGTGTCTTTAAACTGGGTAATGATGGATGTGTGTCTTTAAACTGGGTAATGATGGATGTGTGTCTTTAAACTGGGTAATGATGGATGTGTGTCTTTAAACTGGGTAATGATGGATGTGTGTCTTTAAACTGGGTAATGATGGATGTGTGTCTTTAAACTGGGTAATGATGGATGTGTGTCTTTAAACTGGGTAATGATGGATGTGTGTCTTTAAAACTGGGTACATGATGGATGTGTGTCTTTAAACTGGGTAATGATGGATGTGTGTCTTTAAACTGGGTAATGATGGATGTGTGTCTTTAAACTGGGTAATGATGGATGTGTGTCTTTAAACTGGGTACATGATGGATGTGTGTCTTTAAACTGGGTAATGATGGATGTGTGTCTTTAAACTGGGTACATGATGGATGTGTGTCTTTAAAACTGGGTAATGATGGATGTGTGTCTTTAAACTGGGTAATGATGGATGTGTGTCTTTAAACTGGGTAATGATGGATGTGTGTCTTTAAACTGGGTAATGATGGATGTGTGTCTTTAAAACTGGGTACATGATGGATGTGTGTCTTTAAACTGGGTAATGATGGATGTGTGTCTTTAAAACTGGGTAATGATGGATGTGTGTCTTTAAAACTGGGTAATGATGGATGTGTGTCTTTAAACTGGGTAATGATGGATGTGTGTCTTTAAAACTGGGTAATGATGGATGTGTGTCTTTAAACTGGGTAATGATGGATGTGTGTCTTTAAACTGGGTAATGATGGATGTGTGTCTCTAAAACTGGGTAATGATGGATGTGTGTCTTTAAACTGGGTAATGATGGATGTGTGTCTTTAAACTGGGTAATGATGGATGTGTGTCTCTAAAACTGGGTAATGATGGATGTGTGTCTCTAAAACTGGGTAATGATGGATGTGTGTCTCTAAAACTGGGTAATGATGGATGTGTGTCTTTAAAACTGGGTAATGATGGATGTGTGTCTTTAAACTGGGTACATTATGGATGTGTGTCTTTAAACTGGGTAATGATGGATGTGTGTCTTTAAACTGGGTAATGATGGATGTGTGTCTTTAAACTGGGTAATGATGGATGTGTGTCTTTAAAACTGGGTACATGATGGATGTGTGTCTTTAAAACTGGGTACATGATGGATGTGTGTCTTTAAACTGGGTAATGATGGATGTGTGTCTTTAAACTGGGTAATGATGGATGTGTGTCTTTAAACTGGGTAATGATGGATGTGTGTCTTTAAACTGGGTACATGATGGATGTGTGTCTTTAAAACTGGGTAATGATGGATGTGTGTCTTTAAACTGGGTAATGATGGATGTGTGTCTTTAAACTGGGTAATGATGGATGTGTGTCTTTAAACTGGGTAATGATGGATGTGTGTCTTTAAACTGGGTAATGATGGATGTGTGTCTCTAAAACTGGGTAATGATGGATGTGTGTCTTTAAAACTGGGTAATGATGGATGTGTGTCTTTAAAACTGGGTACATGATGGATGTGTGTCTTTAAAACTGGGTAATGATGGATGTGTGTCTTTAAACTGGGTAATGATGGATGTGTGTCTCTAAAACTGGGTAATGATGGATGTGTGTCTTTAAAACTGGGTAATGATGGATGTGTGTCTTTAAAACTGGGTAATGATGGATGTGTGTCTTTAAACTGGGTAATGATGGATGTGTGTCTTTAAACTGGGTAATGATGGATGTGTGTCTTTAAACTGGGTAATGATGGATGTGTGTCTTTAAACTGGGTACATGATGGATGTGTGTCTTTAAAACTGGGTAATGATGGATGTGTGTCTTTAAACTGGGTAATGATGGATGTGTGTCTTTAAACTGGGTACATGATGGATGTGTGTCTTTAAACTGGGTAATGATGGATGTGTGTCTTTAAACTGGGTAATGATGGATGTGTGTCTTTAAACTGGGTACATGATGGATGTGTGTCTTTAAACTGGGTAATGATGGATGTGTGTCTTTAAACTGGGTACATGATGGATGTGTGTCTTTAAACTGGGTAATGATGGATGTGTGTCTTTAAACTGGGTACATGATGGATGTGTGTCTTTAAACTGGGTAATGATGGATGTGTGTCTTTAAACTGGGTAATGATGGATGTGTGTCTTTAAACTGGGTAATGATGGATGTGTGTCTTTAAACTGGGTAATGATGGATGTGTGTCTTTAAACTGGGTAATGATGGATGTGTGTCTTTAAACTGGGTAATGATGGATGTGTGTCTTTAAACTGGGTAATGATGGATGTGTGTCTTTAAACTGGGTAATGATGGATGTGTGTCTTTAAACTGGGTAATTGATGGATGTGTGTCTTTAAACTGGGTACATGATGGATGTGTGTCTTTAAACTGGGTACATGATGGATGTGTGTCTTTAAAACTGGGTAATGATGGATGTGTGTCTTTAAAACTGGGTAATGATGGATGTGTGTCTTTAAACTGGGTAATGATGGATGTGTGTCTTTAAAACTGGGTAATGATGGATGTGTGTCTTTAAACTGGGTAATGATGGATGTGTGTCTTTAAACTGGGTAAATGATGGATGTGTGTCTTTAAAACTGGGTAATGATGGATGTGTGTCTTAAAACTGGGTAATGATGGATGTGTGTCTTTAAAACTGGGTAATGATGGATGTGTGTCTTTAAAACTGGGTAATGATGGATGTGTGTCTTTAAACTGGGTAATGATGGATGTGTGTCTTTAAAACTGGGTACATGATGGATGTGTGTCTTTAAAACTGGGTAATGATGGATGTGTGTCTTTAAACTGGGTAATGATGGATGTGTGTCTTTAAACTGGGTACATGATGGATGTGTGTCTTTAAACTGGGTAATGATGGATGTGTGTCTTTAAAACTGGGTACATGATGGATGTGTGTCTTTAAACTGGGTAATGATGGATGTGTGTCTTTAAACTGGGTAATGATGGATGTGTGTCTTTAAACTGGGTAATGATGGATGTGTGTCTTTAAACTGGGTAATGATGGATGTGTGTCTTTAAACTGGGTAATGATGGATGTGTGTCTTTAAACTGGGTAATGATGGATGTGTGTCTTTAAACTGGGTAATGATGGATGTGTGTCTTTAAACTGGGTAATGATGGATGTGTGTCTTTAAACTGGGTAATGATGGATGTGTGTCTTTAAACTGGGTAATGATGGATGTGTGTCTTTAAACTGGGTAATGATGGATGTGTGTCTTTAAACTGGGTAATGATGGATGTGTGTCTTTAAACTGGGTAATGATGGATGTGTGTCTTTAAAACTGGGTAATGATGGATGTGTGTCTTTAAACTGGGTAATGATGGATGTGTGTCTTTAAACTGGGTAATGATGGATGTGTGTCTTTAAACTGGGTAATGATGGATGTGTGTCTCTAAAACTGGGTAATGATGGATGTGTGTCTTTAAACTGGGTAATGATGGATGTGTGTCTTTAAACTGGGTAATGATGGATGTGTGTCTTTAAACTGGGTAATGATGGATGTGTGTCTTTAAACTGGGTAATGATGGATGTGTGTCTTTAAAACTGGGTAATGATGGATGTGTGTCTTTAAACTGGGTAATGATGGATGTGTGTCTTTAAAACTGGGTAATGATGGATGTGTGTCTTTAAACTGGGTAATGATGGATGTGTGTCTTTAAACTGGGTAATGATGGATGTGTGTCTTTAAACTGGGTAATGATGGATGTGTGTCTTTAAACTGGGTAATGATGGATGTGTGTCTTTAAACTGGGTAATGATGGATGTGTGTCTTTAAACTGGGTAATGATGGATGTGTGTCTTTAAACTGGGTAATGATGGATGTGTGTCTTTAAACTGGGTAATGATGGATGTGTGTCTTTAAACTGGGTAATGATGGATGTGTGTCTTTAAACTGGGTAATGATGGATGTGTGTCTTTAAACTGGGTAATGATGGATGTGTGTCTTTAAACTGGGTAATGATGGATGTGTGTCTTTAAAACTGGGTAATGATGGATGTGTGTCTTTAAAACTGGGTAATGATGGATGTGTGTCTTTAAACTGGGTAATGATGGATGTGTGTCTTTAAAACTGGGTAATGATGGATGTGTGTCTTTAAACTGGGTAATGATGGATGTGTGTCTTTAAACTGGGTAATGATGGATGTGTGTCTTTAAACTGGGTAATGATGGATGTGTGTCTTTAAACTGGGTAATGATGGATGTGTGTCTTTAAACTGGGTAATGATGGATGTGTGTCTTTAAAACTGGGTAATGATGGATGTGTGTCTTTAAACTGGGTAATGATGGATGTGTGTCTTTAAAACTGGGTAATGATGGATGTGTGTCTTTAAACTGGGTAATGATGGATGTGTGTCTTTAAACTGGGTAATGATGGATGTGTGTCTTTAAACTGGGTAATGATGGATGTGTGTCTTTAAAACTGGGTAATGATGGATGTGTGTCTTTAAACTGGGTAATGATGGATGTGTGTCTTTAAAACTGGGTAATGATGGATGTGTGTCTTTAAAACTGGGTAATGATGGATGTGTGTCTTTAAACTGGGTAATGATGGATGTGTGTCTTTAAAACTGGGTACATGATGGATGTGTGTCTTTAAACTGGGTAATGATGGATGTGTGTCTTTAAACTGGGTAATGATGGATGTGTGTCTTTAAACTGGGTAATGATGGATGTGTGTCTTTAAAACTGGGTAATGATGGATGTGTGTCTTTAAACTGGGTAATGATGGATGTGTGTCTTTAAAACTGGGTAATGATGGATGTGTGTCTTTAAACTGGGTAATGATGGATGTGTGTCTTTAAAACTGGGTAATGATGGATGTGTGTCTTTAAACTGGGTAATGATGGATGTGTGTGTCTTTAAAACTGGGTAATGATGGATGTGTGTCTTTAAAACTGGGTACATGATGGATGTGTGTCTTTAAACTGGGTAATGATGGATGTGTGTCTTTAAA